ATTCATCAACCAATTCTTCTACTTCCTATCATTTATCCATCAATCATAATTAGTTATATAACTAATAATTAACATTAAAAATGATTATTTATTTAATTAAATTACCTTTGGAGTTAATTCAATTAAATTATTGTCAGTACGATATTTATTTCTAAATAAATAAAATATTGCAAAAAATACTAAAAAAAGTTCTAGTGTTGTGCGATAAGGATCATCTTGATGTGAGTTCTTTATGTACTTTAATAGGATCCCTGATCCAGGAATTTTAGAGTACAATATGGAAACATTTGTAATAAAACTATTAAGAAATTCAAACAAATCATTTAATGCTGGATATGCTGAACTCATTTTATTTATTGAATATTTTACGAAAAAATTTTTATAAATTAAATTTGTTGATCGTTGCAGATATTTCTTGGAAAGGCAACTAACTATACGTAGCTGGTGGAAATTTTATTATAAAAATAAACCATTTTCTTCAAGCGTATAAATGACTAAATCCAAACCTAAATATAATACTAAAATAATAATAATGACGTGTTTTTTTTACATTTTGTATCAATCACATGAGAAAGAATCCTATTAATTGCACGTAGCACCAATTAGAGTTATGTATGTAATGGCAAGCCGAAGTGGTCAAGTTTGAAATTTTCTGATACGCACGCGACGGTTTCGCATCATTTTTCAAAAAGTTTTTAAATGCTAAATGCATGATTCTTTTTTAGATTCAATGTATACTTTTTAAATGATATCATTTTTTATTATAAATATACAATGCTTTTTCTTTTTTAAAATCCTCTTTTTCACATGCCCAATAATAATTTATTTATGCATTTTATTTCTACACATAAGCAATTTTCTTGAATAAGATACATAATATAAAAAATTTATATCTTAAATTTGCTCCACAACATTAGGGTTCCTAACAGTAACCCTATTCGAATGTTCATAATTATTCTGGATATTCGTAATTATTCGTAATGACTTGTTCGTTTTTTAATTTCAATCTTACTTGTTCACATAATAATTTTTTGTCATTGTCTTTTCAAATGATTTTTCTTTGATTTTGTAGAATTACTTGTTGAGTAGTTTTAACAGTGATATTATTATCAACAGAAGAAAATTTACGATGATTATGACGATGGATTTGAGCTGTTTTTAATCACAAGTTTTAATATTAATTGTAGCTGAAATAATAGACTATTACGTGGCCAAATGGTGCATTGATTGAGTAGTCTAATAAATTACTACAAAAACATATAAATAGACCAAAAAATTGCAATAGAGTGCCAAATGGTATCTGTGATTTGATTTTTACAATGTAAATAAAGATATGTACATATGATTTATTAGATAATTAGATAGTATAGGCATGTAACAATAATACACTAATTGTATCAGAAAAGGAAAGATGAGAGATGACAATTAATCTATTTAATATGGAAAATGCATGGTGTCCAAAAATTCTTTGAGGGCGAATCTCTCAAAGAATGCTCTCCACAGGAGCATTGGCTTCTTCACGTGAAGAAGGAAATTTTTTTTTAACAACGTTATAATGTTATTATATATATTGCACTTTTTTTTTTTTAGATAGGAATTGTGAATGTTAATTATTTACGCACAAATATTTATTGAAACAGTCGAATTTTAAAGTGATTCGAATTAAACCAGATTCCTAAATTTCTTTTAATGCCATACTAATAGGGGTTTCTATTCTAATAATTCGAATAAAGCAAATAATAATAATCAAGCAATTCGAACAATGCAAATAAAGTGAATGATCCGAACAATTCTAATAAAGCGAACAATTCGAATAAAACAAGCGGAATAATAACAAATAAGAATTTGTATTATGAATTTATGAATAGAAACTACATACTAATATTAATAACAATAACAAAAAGGTAATAATTTTACAGTTTTACAAATAAAGAAATGATTATTTTCTAACATTGTTATTAATATGTTTATACGAACAAAATATAACTAGGAATAATAATTTTACTCTAATATAAAAGGGTACACAGACTTGTGGATAGTTGTGGCAATAGAAAATATTTGTGGACTTGTGAATAATTGCGACATGTGAATAATTGCGGACATTTAAGTCACTTTCCCACAATGTTGCAACACTGTGTTGCAACATCAAGAGTTGCAGCACTTTAATTGCGGAACCCATCTTTAGTGATAATACATACAGAAATTGAAACGCAATGTATTTATATATCATTTTATATAGGAATAAGTTCTAAATCTCTACTTTACTATGGAATTTTGAATCATTCGAAATACTATGAATTGACTATTCAAATATGGACATTCTTTTTCAATTGGGAGTGATGTTGAATTAAGTGAATAAATGTATAAAGTTATTTTATTATTTTTTCTTAAGCCTACTAACAGGTTTTGCTATTTTTCTATTAGGAAATAACAATTCTCTATTATTATTATTATCATCGTAACAATTATTAAAATTATTATCATTATTATCATTATTATCATCATTGTAATTCATTATTATATCCATATCATCAGATTCAAACCAAGTAAAGAATGTTTGAGATGAAATGGTGGTAGTTGATGATGATGGGTTTGGTGTGATGATAATAATGATAATGGCGGTGGTTTTGGTAATGACAGTGGTTTTGGTGTTGGTAGTGATGATGATGGTGGTTAAGATTTCTGGCCGAAACTGCTTCTATTAGTAGCCGAAATTGCCGAAATTGCCCAAACTAGTTTGGGCTTTGAGAAAACAGTTTGGACCAGAAACCTTAATGGTGGTGGCGATGATAATGATGATGATGGTTTTGGTGGCGGTAGTGATGATGATGGTGGCGGCGATGATGGTTTTGGTGGTGGTGGTGATGATGGTTTTGGTGATGATGATGTCAATAGCTTTTTCTTTTTTTAAAAACCTTTTTTTCCTATTGTTAAATAAAATCAAATAATGTTATTTTGTTTTTTTTTTTTTTTTTAAAAATTATATTTATGATCTCAATTCAGCATATTGCTATAAATTCTTATTTGAAAAACAATGACTCTGAATGAAAAAATTGACACCACATTAACAAATAATGAGGAACAATTCTTAATCCATTTACACTACATTACCCAAAATAATGTAGAAAAATGAACCGTAAAGGAGAATTTTACTAGCATTTTAATTTTTTTTTAAATTTTTTATTTTTTATTTTTATTCTTTATTTTTATTTTTATTTTTGTTTTAAATTATTTAGAATACATATAAAAGATATCTAATTCTAAATGTTTAAATTATTTTTTTATTTTTATATTATTATATTTTTAAATATTATTTTTTTATAATGCTAGTAATTTGGTAATAAATATCATCATCATCATTGCTATTTATCTATCTAGCCCAATTCATCATTAAATGGGTAGGATGTCTTTAAGAATAATATATATCAAATGTACCTTATAATACTTCTTCAACAAAGTCCCTGCCTTCTCCTTCCTTTCCACCGCTTCCTCTTCCTTTATTTTTTCAGCACTCTAATATAATGTGCTAGTATGTCTTCTTCTTTATATTTGAGTATCCATATAAATTCTTTAAAGTGGTCATAGGACCAGTCTTCTTGCTCAAAAAAATTTTTTAAATGACTATTGTCGCGTTTCGTTTTTAAAAAATTTTTTAAAAGAAATCTGTGTGATACCTAATGATAATCAGTCGCAGGACATTGCAGATCTACAGGGGTCAAGTGTCACTCATATATTAATATAAAATTAATGATCTTTGTGCATAATTTTATATGTAAAATCGAAGAAAAAAACCACTCTGGTATACACAAACCTGCCTGATTCAACCAAGATTGTTCCTTGAATTATAAAAAATCAAAACATATAGAAAACCCTTTATTTTGACATATTTTTTGCCAGGGTAAACAAATAAGACTTGAAGAAAATCTTAAGGGTAGGGGGAATCACGTAGTAAATTAATAGTAAACAATGGCTCAAAAAAAAACTTTAATGTCGATCATAAATAATAATAATAATAATAATAACATAAAATAATAACTCAACATTATCAACATTAACACTTAATACTTTTGCCAATCAGTCTTAACACTTACACTTAAATATTTAACACTTTTACTAAAGCTCTGAACGGTTTGGTTTCAGTTTAGTTTCGGTTTTTAAATTATTATCATTGAACACAAAAAAAAAATTTTTTTTTTCCTGATAATTTTTTTTTTCCGATAATAAATAAAATATATATATTAATATACAGTATATAATCAAAAAAAAAAAAAAAATAATAATAATAATAATTAATAATTAATTCCTCCCTTCAATTTTACTGTTAGTTATTGATTTCTTCATGAATGAATTACATAATTCTCTTGATAATAATTCACCTGATAATAGTTCTCCTATTTATAATAGTGAAGTTGGAGAGGAGCATAAGAAGTTTAGTAATAGCCTATTCATCCTGATCCACATAATTGAAATTTCTTTGTTATCATCAATTAATTGCGATTCAGTGATTTAATCCCGAAATAGCTCTTAGCTCTTGAAGTGCGAAATCTATACGAAATAGATTAAAGAATTTCAGCCAATGATTTCTAATTCCGGTAACATTATCAAATTTAAATTTTTATTGGTTTAAAAAAATAAATTCGGTTCGGTTTTGGTTTGTATGCAAGAAATTCGGTTCGGTTTTGGTCTATAAACCGAAAGTTCGGTTCGGTTCGGTTTATAAACCAAAGATTTCGGTTCGGTTTCGGTTTACCCATAAAACCAGTTCGAACCGAACCGTTAGGAGCTTCAACTTTTACAAAAACTTAAACAAAAACATTTATGCTTAACAAAACCAAAAACCAAACCACTGCTTTCTTTATTAAAGCAAATAACCAAAACCTCAGAGTTCTATACCACTCTGATAACCAAATGGACAATTAAACCCTACTGTTTAATTTCTGGCCAAAAAATGTTTTTTTATTAAGCAAAAATAGAATGAATTGTTGTAAATAAATTTTATATTATAAGCAATTTTGTAATATTAGGTTGTTAAGTTTTGTTAATTTGGTTGCTAATGTATCAAATCCTTTTTCGGATATTTCTTTGGTTGAAAGTTTAAGTGAACAAAGTGATGGACACTTGATTGCTAATGCTTCTGCAAAATTGTCAGAAAGTTTAAAAACGCCATCTAAATCTAATACACGAAGATCAGATATACAGCTCATCAGTGAATGAAAGGCCTTGTGAGTCAATTGATTATTACCAATCACCAGGATTTCTTTGAGTTCTGGGCAGTATTGTGGCAAAGATTGTATGTGACTATCAGATAAATTCCATCCATATACTTTAATCTTGCGTAGATTTTCACATAATCTAACAAGATTTGTTAATAAATTTGGTTTTGATATAAAGTATGTTGACATTATCTTGTGTTCGATATGATCGGAACATAAAACTGGTGCAAAAGAGTTGACGTTATTTCCTTCTGGAGCACATAGATTGAGAACACGTATTCTTAAAGCCCTTTGTTTTGATTGTTTGACCACACGCAGGAAGTAGTATATAGAATCAGGTGTTTTGAAAATTGGTTCTGACCATAATACATTAATAGCTGCTGGTGTCCATGCCTTATTAACAAAACATAAATTGTATCGATCTTGTTGTGATTCTAAAAATTCTGCTATGTATTTGATAAGTTTGTATTGTAGCCTGAGAGCAACGTTAGGAGTTAAAACCTCTTCTTCAAGATCTGTTAGCCAGTTATTCGTCAACCACACGCAGGAAGTAGTATATAGAATCAGGTGTTTTGAAAATTGGTTCTGACCATAATACATTAATAGCTGCTGGTGTCCATGCCTTATTAACAAAACATAAATTGTATCGATCTTGTTGTGATTCTAAAAATTCTGCTATGTATTTGATAAGTTTGTATTGTAGCCTGAGAGCAACGTTAGGAGTTAAAACCTCTTCTTCAAGATCTGTTAGCCAGTTATTCGTCATGAAAAAAAGTAAATTTATTTGTTTAAAAAATTTTATTTAAAAAAAATTTTATCGGAAAAACAATCTATGCATATGTAGATAAATATTATGTAGATCACCAAAAAAAATAATTGATCAAAAGTTCCAAAAACGGCAGAAACTTTTGAATCAAAAACACAATGTAAAGAGAATCTTTGCTAAAATTAGTAAGCAAAGGTTTTTTTTCGAAAGTGTAGTAACAGTTAGTATTAGTGTTAGTATATTATCATTGGAACCCAAGAATTATAGTGCTATCAGAAGTATTTTGAAAAAGGAATAAGGTGAGAAAATTACCCCTTATATTTTCAAAATAAATGATACTCAATTGCTTGAAGATTATCCATGGAATTTATCAAGAAAGCAAGAAAAACAATAGAATGATAGTGAACAATTTATAAACTTTTGGATAATGCAAATGGTATCAAAATAAGAATAATCCCGTATCTAGATGCAATGTTTCTATTAAAACTTGGAATAGTGTTACCAGAATTAGATTCTGACGAAGATATTTTGGGACGAATCTCGTAATTCCGGGTCAAATTAATTCTATTTCTATTTTTATTTATCATTTTTCTATTTTTATTTTTTTTTATTAACTTGTTTATTATTATCGTTTATACCTGTGTTACGTTTCGTATAGTCATTTACTATTCTTATTAATTAATCCCGTAACACGTTAATATTTATTTGATTTATTTAACTATATCTAGTAGAAATTAGTGACGATGCGCCCATATGGGCTCATGAACCCAAACGGATGTGCGAATCCATATGGGCTTATAATTAATTGACATGTATATAAAGAACTTGATTTCGACCTAATGTAAAAGCAACTTGATAACAAGTTAATTAGTTTCGACTAAGAAAACTAAATAAATAAAATAAATATTTTATTTAAACAAAATTATTCGCTAATAACAAAATCAATTCCTATTCATTCTGATCCACGCAAAAATAAAAATAATTGTTAATACCAATTAAAATACGTTCTCCAAAATTTAATCGGTGACAATAGTTTATCAAACATTTTTTAAAAAAGATGTCCAAAGACTTCATTTATATAGAAATACTGCCAAGTTAATTGTTACAAGCACTAATTTGAATCACATGATTTTAAAAAAATGTTTCCTTTACCACAGTATAAATATAGCAATAAAATTTTAATATTTGATGAATTACATATTAATATTTTATCCATAAATCAAATCATGTGTTAAAATCATATCATAGTACAAATAGCAAATAGAATTTATTCTACAATTATTATTTTAGGAATCCAGTTACCATTTTCATCTGCACAAGCAAGCATTGGATGTGTTTCTATCTTCTTTTATACCAAATACTTTAAAATCAAAGACTTCAAACCATGTTTCCAAATTATTTCGTTGTACAGCTGCAACGCATCTCTGTTTATCAAATTTAACCTGCCTATAATTGATTGATTGGTTAGTATTAATTTCACTCAAAAAAAAATTTTTTTTTATTAAAATAGAAAATAATACATTACCATACACTTAATCCAGTTAATAAATCACAAATGTGTTTGCCAGATTTCATATCCCACCACATATTGCTTTGTCTTTCCTGGATTAACAAACATATGCTTTTTTTTATAATTATTTGCATTGATTATAAAAATAACAATGATAGCAGTAATAGAAGCTAAATAATCATCTGAAAGCCAAAGTGGATTTGAACAAAGAAGAGGTGCTTAAGTAATATAAAAGTATTTTATCAGTTATGTCAAATATAAAAAAATCAAAAGTATTTTAATAAAATGTTACTATAAATACATCTAGATGATAAATTAAGTGTACGGAGTTGAGTGCCATCTTCAATGTTCCAAAATTTAATCACACCATCTGCATTTTTACTTATACACCTTTTTCTTGTATCATCTAATATTACAGAGCAAACTTTTTGCAAATGCTTCAAACACAAATGCATTTTCCAGTCATGATGTTCCAGACCCTAATTGTACCATCATCACTACCACTAATTAAAGTGTTTCTTAAACATGACAAAGTATTAACAGATTTATTATGGCCACAAAAGGTATGAAGAAAATATGGATTGTTGTTAAATTGATTATTATCAGATAGTGGTGAAGATTTAGTAAAATAATATGATTTATCAACCTTGAGGTTAGGTAGCCTCCATGCTTTTAATGTACAATCCTTAGAGCCAGTGACAATAACGTTTTCTAGTGGTATGATTTGAAGACATGTAATAGTTTGTGTGTGACCTGAGAATTAAAGACTAGTGCCGTAAATTATGATGATTTTAGTAATTGTATTTACAGCATATAAAAAGTGGTTGCAATTACCTTTGCGACCACTTTTGCAACCATACTTTTTCCTTTTTTGGATTACAGCACTAGTCTTTACTGAGAATGTATGTGTACATATGCCTTCTTTAAGATCCCAAATACGAACTGTATTATCAGCAGATCCTGATGCTAACACTGTGTTAACTTATTGTAAAGTATTGACACTACCTTCGTGACCTTCAAGCTTGTGGATCATTTTACCACTAGCTGTATTGTAAACATTAATACACCTGTCATCTGACCCAGAAACAATTTTTTGAGAGTTGAATTGTAAACAAGTAACAGTGTTGTTACCATGTCCTTGGAAAGATATATGCTTATATTGGCCATAAAACCAATTTTTTTGAGTGATAAAGTATTGATCCTTGTATATGATATTTTTCAATTTTTTGCAAACTAATGAAACTTGATACAGACTTCCAATATTTAAATATCTCATTATATATAAAATTACATCATCAGGTAACAGGCAAGGAAAGTATTGTTTTCTAGTGCATATTGGAGTGCAACACATTAGTGATTGAAAAAAACCAAAATGACAAATCTCAACCACCATTCTTATAATAAGTAACTAGAGTGACAATAATTGATAAACACTTATTCTTTTACTTCTACTGCTGCTCCATGATAGTCTTCTTTTCTTTGTTTTGCTATATTCCTCGTAGTGATCACAATCATCATATTCATGAATATTCATTAAGGGGGTTATACTTATCAAAATCAAGTGATTGGACTAGGGATGGGGCGGTTCCACTAGGGAACCGGTTCTGAACCGAACCGAACACAGAACCGCGAACCGGTTCCAGAACCGAGTTCTAACCGTTCACCATGTGATTTATACCTATATGAGGAAATCCTGAGTTAATCTTTCCTTAAAAGGAATGATTAATACGAATAACGTGACTTATTAATATTCAAATAAATTAAATTAAATATTATTATTATTATTATTATTATTATTATTATTATGTAAATAACGAATAAACGGACAAACAATGAATGAATATGATAGATATTAATATACAAAAAAAAGTGCATAAAATAAAACAAACATTGATGATTTTTTATTAGTAATTAGTATAGAATTACAAAAAAACATAAAGAAAGTATAAGGAAAAAAATATATAAGTAATTTCGAGAATATTATTCTAGCACTCTAAACCCCTACTTTATTGATTATCCAACTCTTCATGCTCTTGCAGTTTCTGGCAATAAGCAATTCCGCACCTTACTGATTGTATTTCCAGCAACTGAGAAAGCATGTTCTGATGGAACATTGGTTGCTTTTATTGTAAGATAATCCCGTGCCATTAAGATAATTTCAAAAATCTTTTTTACAATTTGCCAAAAGACCATTTTTTACAATTCAAAAAATCTTTTTACAATTCACACCAAAAGTCTATTTTTTTATTTAAATGATCTGTTAAGATAATTTCAAAAATCTTTTTTTACAATTCACCAAAGACCATTTTTTACAATTCAAAAATCATGCCAAAAGTCTATTTTTTACAATTTAAATGATTTATTAGGATAATGTCAAAAGTCTTTTTTTACAATTCACGCCAAAAGTTTATTTTTTACAATTTAAATGATAATGTCAAAAGTCTTTTTTTTACAATTCTTGGTCTTTTTGAGTGTTCTAAAATTCCACAGTAAGATTAAAACCTAAGGTTTATTATCATGCAAAAATCTTTAATGATTATATATAAATTATACAATTATCGTCACGCGTTTCGCCTAGCCTAAAGTCGTTTTCAATTGAAAGAAGCTACTCCCATAACAAGTCCTTCAATTTTTGATCTTTTTGAGTAATCTAAAATTTCACAGTAAGATAGAAACATAAGGTTTATTATTATGCAAAAATAATTAATAGTTATATAATAAATCATACAACCCTCGCCATACGTTTTATCTAACCTAAAGTCGATTTCAATTGAAAGAAGCTGCTCCTATGACAAGTCCTTCAACTTTTGGTCTTTTTGCGTAATCTAAAATTCTATAGTAAGACACAAACCTAAGGTTTATTATTATGTAAGATAAATTGTGGCTATATATAAAACATACAATCCTCGTCATATATTTACTTACTTCGTTTTCAATTGAAAAAAACTGTTCCTATGATAAGTCCTTCGCTATTTGGTCCTTTTGAGCGATCTAAAATTTCATAGTAAGGTAGAAACTCAAGCTTATCATTATGCAAAATTGATTGATGGTTATATATAAAGCATACAATACTCGCCACACATTTGCTTCACTGTTTGGTGATTCTTGTTCCAACTTTCTCCATTATACTTTGCTTGAATTATTAAAAACCCAAGTATTATCTATATACTATTCACTAAAATAAAAATAAATAGGTAATCTATATACTATTATATACCATTCACTAAAATATAAAATAAATGAACTGATCTATCTATGTACTAATCACAATCAACAATACATATAAAATAAATGCCTTGATATTTACTCTGTTATTTAACGTAAATATAAATACTTGCTTTATGTTCTAATACTTAGTTTTCGCCCAAAGTTATGATCCAAATAATAATCGGATCTTTTAGAAAAAGCCTTTGCCGATTTTTTTTAATATTAATCACACCAAAAGATAAAATCCTTTGACATAGCTATTTGTTGAAAAAGTATATACACATTTTTATACTAATAATCATAAGACTCTCTTATTAAGTTGGCAAGTAAAAAGAACTTCTTTACTTTATTGAAGACTTTTTTGTTTTTTATTTTTTTATTGATCAAAACAGAAAAACAGAAAAGAGCCAATTTTGTATAGATGTAGGACAACGCAATTTATTATAAAGATCTACGCAAAGTTTAATTTCCTCGTGGATCTATAACAATAATAATAGGATCAATAAGGAGGTGTTCCTAACATATTTCCCTAAAGGTCTGACCTACTCGAAATTGTCCAAATTAGGTTAGAAATCAAAAACCTTTTAATTATTGAATAATAATAAAAGAAACAAACTCAGGATACTCGAGCATAAATGAAATTCATGAAAACACACGCTTTCTTACAAACAACATTAGTATATCATACTTTCTTCATCTATATTAAAATCACTGTATTGAAAATCTACATACTCTTCGCTTAAAGTATTAGTGCACTAACAAAATTAATGAAAACGTTATTATTATTATTATTATTATACTTGCTTGCATAAACTCGAAGTAAAAGCTGGGAATAATGTAGAAGATATAGATTATTATAAAGAAATAATAATAATAACGATCATTTATAAAATTATTTTTATCTTCACCTTGCTAAAAAAAAAGAATTAAATAATAAAAACAATATGGAATAGTCATTATAATAATAATAATTAAGATGTAAGAGTAAGTGTTATTTATTATGATTCGTAATAATAAAAAAGAGTTGAAAAATGAAAAACAATATTATTGGAAGCTACTGTGTAGTTATTATTGTTGTTGTTATTGATATTTAAAATAATAATATCGGTGTAACGATTTTTTATTGATTTGTGTTAATATTAATCGCGCGGTGTATATGGTTTATTTATTACGACAGTGTTGTACGTGAATATACACTAACCTTTTATGCTTGGTTAAATGGCCTGGACTTACAATTTTTACATGATTCATGTGATCGTGATGTTTTATTAATTAATTATTGGTTAATTATCATCTTTCTTATCTTACACAACCCATGTGTGTTTTAAAAAAAACAAAAAATTATCCAAGAATAATGCGTTATTGGTTTCATTTACATCAAGTCATTAGTTGAAACAAGTAACCTTTTAAAAGAAACTGCAAATTTCTGCACCAAAGCTGATGAATACAAAGAAGTGATTTTTAAGAAATCCTTTGCTTTCCACCAAAGCAAATAAAACCCTACTACTCGTTGTTAATACTAACACCAAACCTCATAGTTCTATACCACCCTGATAACAAATAGACAATTAAACCCTACAATTTAATTTCGGATACAAAAGTATTTTATTAAGTTGTGAAAATGTTTTCACATAACAGATTATTTATAAAAAATATTAATTTCTGCTCTGAAATATTAAATAATCAAGTTAGTTAATCAATCGGTTGTATTTCATACATGCGACCTAGCCTCTTTTGTAATAATAATTGTGGTAAACCTTTTGATCATGAAAGAGATTTCTGAATAAATAAATAATGGATTAATAAACAAAATAATGATAATGGATAATACTAGTTCCAACTAACTCAAATAATAATAATAAACATATAGAATTTGTCAACGATCTTTCATCTAAGAGATGTTCATAATTTATCTAAAAACAACTTGATCAAACCAATTGAACCTCAATCAAGTAAACAATAATTGAGCTTACATGAATGTATCGAAAATATACGACCTTTATCTAGAGTTTTACAAGATGATATAGACAAATCATCTAACTAACTGGATAGTAAGTGAACTGTTGCCTTTTATCGATGGCTAAAGGTGGAAATTTTAAAAAATTATCAATTTACTTCAACTTTCTACTATAAATTCAAAAATATAAGATATAAATTTTTAGTAACTTATTTTTAATTTTTAGAATATGGTCCTTTCCCATTGAAAAGTCTCACATGCATAACTTCACTACTGCACAGATCAGGTACCCTCCCCAGTACAGACAAATGAGTCATTTCGAGCACTTTCCTCAGCAGTTTGGGTCTCGGAAAAGTTTAGTACTTTAAACTAGTACTAGTTTCAAGGTAGTTTCATTAGGTCACGCAGGATTAGAAACAATGAATGGAAATTTTCAATTGTTCAATTAAACATAGTCATAATTTTTACTTTAGTCGTGATCTTTTACCTTAATCAATAAAACAAGGTTTTTGCTTTCATTACTTTGACTTCATGGTAGTGAATTTAGCAAACAACATTGGTGGTGGTGTTATACACGTAATTAACGCATAATGATAAAATTTTTGTTGTTTTCTTGATGAAAATTGGACCTTTTTCCCATTCCTCTGGAGTTGAGTTGTTGAGAGTCTTACACGAGATATCACAAATATCATTAAAGAAAACCTGAATTTAGAAAAAGGAAAGTATTGTTAACCCTGCCAGTTTTTACAAGTACATTAGAGGGATCCACAATAGTTTTATTATATTAATATGGTAAAGTGCTGGTGAAAGTTAAAGATATACACTAAATAGTTTCATAATATTGGTCAATAACCAAACGTCAAATTTAAATGATAAGAAATTTCTGAAAAAGGACTTTATTTGTTTGTCACTTAACTTTTGAACTTTTCATTTATAACAAAAAGATGTTTAAAATTAGATCATTACACTATGAATGCTACGTTTTTAGAAAGTCGATTGATGATAAATTGTGATTATAATTAGAATTTTTGTGTAAAAAGTATAATGAATATTTCGTTTTGATTAAAATTAACTCATATAAAACAAGTTTAGAGTATAGATTATCTAGCATATAAATATAGATTAATATTACCTTAAATTTTTCAAGATAATAATTTGAGCCTCAAAGAATAACGAGTACTTCAAATGAATATTTGCGCTCGAACTTATATCATGTGCCGCCAAAATAATTTAAACTTTTCAAGGTATCTATCTATCTGATCCTTTGAATTTCTCATTTGTATATTTGCATTCGAAACAAAAATAGATTGTCGTTATGTAAATGGTTTATTTTTATGTGAAAATGAATTGGATAAATTTGCCAATTCCATTGATTGATAAACGATTAATAAAGAAATAAAACAATCGGAATTTTTTTGTGTTAAAAATAAAATTTCGAATATTTGCACCCAAACATAAATTGCTTATCTTTACGTAAATTCTTTGTTAAAAAAATCATTTAACTTAAAATAGACTATTCAGGAATACGTATTGATTTGATCTTATATATAAATACATATATTTGAATTCTCTCTCACGTTTAAATTATTTTGAAAGATATCTTCAAATAATTTTTCTTTAACAATGTTCATCAAGTTAATAAAAGTTTACAAAAAGTTTCGAGCATTTGTCAGAGGTGAAGATAGTGACGATATAAATGACAATCCAAAGCCCCGTGTAGAATATGAAGAATATTATCATGGCAACCAATTCCAGAGCTACCAGGACGTTTTGGATGAATTCGTCAAAGAATGTAATAAAGAAAGACCGCCTCCATACGATAACTTTAAGCAGAATGATAGCGTCGAATACTTTGATAAAGAACGACTATCAATCAATTCAAATAGTATTAGCGAGGTTGGTGGTCCACCAGATGTCTACAAAATCCTTTTGGTAGGCGGAACTGGAGTTGGAAAATCAACACTAATTAACGCAATGGCAAATTTCTTTCGGGGTGGCACTCTTGATAATCTGAAAGTTGTCATTCCAACTAATCATCTCGATGCTACTGAGATAGGTATTAGTATTATATTTAAAAATATTATAAAAAATCACCAAATGTAGATAATGAATTTAATTTTGAATTTTTTTTCACTATTTCAGGATTCAGAAGCTCCGAAGCTAACAGCAATGATCAAACAAAAAGTCAAACCACAGAATGCCATACCTATTGCTTCAATCATCCAGAAAATAAAGCTCACAGATTTATTTTCATTGATACTCCAGGATTGAGTGATACGAATGGCGTGGATCAAGATGACAGGAATATCCACGCGATAATTGATACAGCAATTCGCGTCGGTTCAATATCGGCAATTGTAGTTGTTGCTAATGGAACTGAATCTCGGATGACCGCAACAGCAAAAAACACTTTGGTTCGCCTGGCAAATAACATACCTAATGCCATTGTCGAGAATAATCTTTTTCTAGTTTTAACAAAGTGTACAGAAATGAGTGCCTCTTTTTCTGTAAAAGATTTTGCGGCTGATTTTGCAGAGCCAAGTGTTAGTATTAATTAGTAATAACCACTCAATTTAATTAATTATGTATGCATGTATGTCTATAGATTACAAATTTCTATATTTTTTATATTTATTTAGGAAACTTTCTATGTGGATAACCAAGCTTTCTGCAATCATCCTAAAACATGGTTAAATGATGAAGATAAATATAAACGTCTTGACTCACAATGGAAGGAATCCGAAAAAACAATTAATGATATGCTAATAAAAATTTCTCGACTAGCTCCCATCCGAACTATAGTATTTAAACAAATGAAATCCCTTCGGGACGATATCAAATGTGAGATTCTTAGAACATCCCAAGTCATTGCAAATATTCAAATAATGCATGATCTCCTTGATGGTGCTCAAAAGGATAAGAAAAAATATGAAAACTATACAAAAACTGAAGAAGTCACAATTTCGAAAATTGTTGACGCTACTAATCATAGTACAGTTTGTATTACACATTTTAAGACGAACAATATCTTTTGTCATGAAAATTGTGGACTTAATTTTACTCCAACGCCTGGAGAACATCCATTTAGAGATTGTTATTGCATGAACGACTACAAAGTATGCAAAAAATGTGGATGTGGCCCTACGAGGTAATCTCTACTTTCACAATAATGCATTTTTATTTACTTGTGAATAATTCTAATTTTATATTATAAATTTTATTCAGTCATTTGCATAAAAGGATTAAAGTAATCAAAGAAACAAAAAAAATTGACAAAGTCCTTGAAGATATGAAAGCGAAATATGATGAGCATAAATCTAAGGCAGATAATTACAAAACAAAGCTTGCTGATCTCGAAGCTACTGCCAATAAACAATACACAAATATTCATAAATATTGTGCTGATCTTAGAAAAGTTTGCACTAAATTATCTTTTCTTCTGCATATATTTTTTATATTTATTTAGGAAACTTTCTATGTGGATAACCAAGCTTTCTGCAATCATCCTAAAACATGGTTAAATGATGAAGATAAATATAAACGTCTTGACTCACAATGGAAGGAATCCGAAAAAACAATTAATGATATGCTAATAAAAATTTCTCGACTAGCTCCCATCCGAACTATAGTATTTAAACAAATGAAATCCCTTCGGGACGATATCAAATGTGAGATTCTTAGAACATCCCAAGTCATTGCAAATATTCAAATAATGCATGATCTCCTTGATGGTGCTCAAAAGGATAAGAAAAAATATGAAAACTATACAAAAACTGAAGAAGTCACAATTTCGAAAATTGTTGACGCTACTAATCATAGTACAGTTTGTATTACACATTTTAAGACGAACAATATCTTTTGTCATGAAAATTGTGGACTTAATTTTACTCCAACGCCTGGAGAACATCCATTTAGAGATTGTTATTGCATGAACGACTACAAAGTATGCAAAAAATGTGGATGTGGCCCTACGAGGTAATCTCTACTTTCACAATAATGCATTTTTATTTACTTGTGAATAATTCTAATTTTATATTATAAATTTTATTCAGTCATTTGCATAAAAGGATTAAAGTAATCAAAGAAACAAAAAAAATTGACAAAGTCCTTGAAGATATGAAAGCGAAATATGATGAGCATAAATCTAAGGCAGATAATTACAAAACAAAGCTTGCTGATCTCGAAGCTACTGCCAATAAACAATACACAAATATTCATAAATATTGTGCTGATCTTAGAAAAGTTTGCACTAGATTTAACTTTGTCGATGAACTTAGTGCAAACATTGAAGTTATAAAACTTGATGCAAGAAATATAAAAAATGTTGATTTGCGAGAAAAGTCTGAAGCCGAAATTAAAAAACTTGTAGAATTGGTGAACGAATTGTCTACAAATTCTGGTCTTTCATCCCCATAACCAGTGCCCCCAGAATAGTCAACATCTCTGGAGCCGTCTTGACTTTCGTACTTTCTTCTTACTTATATTATGATTTAATATATAAAGTTTTTTTTATGTAATTACTTATTAGATTATTTTATTGTATCATTTTTACATTGTATTATTTTTACACATTCAATTATATTATTATCAACATGTGCTTTTGTATTAAATAAATCGAGACCAAACAATAAATAAATAAATGGCTTTGTTTATGTTATTTATGACATGACGTAGTTCAAAAACTATTTCTTGAAAGATTGATTTACATTGAAAATCGTTTTCTAATACTAATTTCCAAGATAATAGTAATTCAACTTCAACCAAACATACATCTCTATCTCTCTTACTCTCACATAAAATTTGTAATTTAGTAATATTTGGGCGTGCAAAGTTTGATTTCCTATTACTATATCTTTTTTTTCTTTTTCGAATAATTAACATAATAATGACAGAAAATCAGGAAACAAAGAAATTTCGCATGCATGTTCTACAGGACCTATGCTACAAGCTACATCAGGGAATTTCGAAGTGTGTTAATTTACATTGCTTTTACATCTCTGTTAAATTTATATCAATTTTTAATGTTATTTTATAAAATAATTTAAAGTTAATTTCCAGCATAAAAATTTCAATTATGTTGTAACTATAATGAAGTTTAACAATATTTTACAAATTGTTATTAATTGAATAACTAGAGTAGCGAGTAATCACCACCACCACCTTTTTTAATATACAGGAAAAAAACCAAATATGTATAATTCTAATTTTTTTTAAATAAATAAATATATATATATATATATAAATGAATAATCATACTATGAAGAATAATTTTTTTAACCTTTTGATTTCTAAAGAAAATTTAATAATATAATGATAGTATGATTATGAATGAATGCAATATTAAAAACTCATTTTAGTGAAATTATATGCTCAAACCAAATCCCATTTTTGAAAATACTTTTGTCTATTGAGGTACTGTTTGTTGTAGAAGGAATTTCATTTAAAATGCCTGATATATAAACAATCTTATTTGTTGGTCCAACTTCTATGATCACATCTTCTGGATTTTTACTGTGTGAACATTTGCTATAATGATACATTCATCTCTATTTTCAAAATAAAAAAATAATTTAATTTTTTATAAAATTAATGTAGAGAATGTTACTTGGTTTTATATAATAATACTAATAATACCCATGATCAAAAAACACCATGATTTTTATCATCCTCAAAATTATTTTATTGTCATTACTGTTACTGCCACTATTAATGTCATCAATATTGCTATTATCATTGTTATAAATGGTTTTAGACTGAAGTTTAAATAGAATTATTATTAATAGATTTTTTTCTCTGTCTTGCTGAATATCCTTTCTAGGTAAACAGATTTCTATTAGATGTGTATATAAAACAAATAAATTTTTTTAAATTATAACTAGAGTAACGACAAGTGGCGATAACCACCACCATCCTTAAAACACTTACCCAGCCAATGCATTTCCATGATTATTTTCTTGTCTTCTTTTTTTTGTATCTTTTTTTGATGACATTATAAAAAAAAATTTTAAAAAAGAAGTTTATGATTTGATCAATGCATACACATTACTTATTTATCCTATGCATAATCAATAATAATAATATTATATTATTATAACATTATAACTAGAGTAATGACAAGTGGTGGGTGATAACCACCACCACCCTTAAAACACTTATCCAGCAAATTCTTCACAATTATTTTCTGTCTTTTGTTTATTGATGACATTTTTTAAAAGAAAGGAAGTTTGTATTTGATCGATGCATACACATTAATTATTTATCCTATTGGTTTTTTTTTTGGTAGGACAGATGCGAATTAATTTTTTTTTTTTTGGTTGGGTCTCCTAAAGAAAACATGTTAATAACTAACCAGAGGTGCTTTTTTTTATTTGTATTGATATGTATGAGGTGTCTTTATTTTAGCTTATAAATATTTTAATTGGAATCAAAACACGGAGCAGATCTTGCTGGGTAATTACAAGGTTTTCATTGATAATATTTTGCTTTGCGTAATCATAATAATACTATTATTAATATTATTATAATTACAAGATGCCAAGGCAGCATTGACTGTTGCAAAAGAAACTATTTGATATGCAATGTTTGATTATTGGAAATTTACAGATGTTGAAGCATGCACACTACCTTGAACACATTACAGTCATTCTCACATGTTCCTCATGTACACGAGGCTAATCTGACCAAGATTTTCCCAATTATACAATGATGTTACTGAATTCCAGGGGGGCCACATGGTCCTGGAGTTTACCAAAACTGCATCAATCGTCAATGACACTTTCACTAATCTTCCCTTACAGCACCAGACCAGAGATGGCTGGCTGGTATGCTGGCCGAAAAGTCGCCTGCAATGATTCCACCTCTAGGGTAAGGATGGCACTGTGATCAAGTCACAACTCTGCTGACGAATTGTAGTGCCATGTAAACATCAAAGCAAAGAGAATCTGCAACTTGTTTCAAGCACAGGAGGTCACAATTTAGAGCAGGGTTGGTGACCCTGAAATTGCATTGGGCTCTGATGTTAAGAGGAAAGTTGTAGAATAGTGTTTGTTTTGTATTATCATTTTCATAGATTTTCTGTTTCTCTTTAATTTTGTTGACCAACTGAATTTGTTGTTTTTTTAAATGGGAACTTTTTCCCATATAACCTCCCACTCTAGATTAAAGGATTGAAGCTCAATGAGAGCATGCATCTCACAAGTATAAAGGTGGCAGTTTGATTCTGCCCACTCCTATTGTGATAGTCACCATGATCACTGGCATCAAGAAGAAAGCTGTAAAATAAAATGGTTCGGATTTTGTTTGGTATGTTATAAATTAATTTCCCCAAATTTTCTGCATCTCTTTAATTTTTATTTGACCAACTGAATTTGTTATTTAAATAAATGGGGTATGGTTGTTGATGAGTAGGCATGCCACTGACAAGACAGGAGATGCCTTTGAGATATACCAGCCAAACTCATAGAAAGGGATCTTTTGTCCAGACTTAGGGTCACATGGATGTTAAGTTAAATATTTAATTGTTAAATATTAATACTTTCTTTTCATAAAAATTACAGCAACCCAGGACTCAAAAATCTGAATTCAGGGAAAATCCAAAACAGCAACCCAGGTTGCAACCTTCTGAGTTGCAGAATTTTCAACCAGTTGCAGGTGCCAACTTTTATGCTAGTGTGGCAATAACATGCAGCAATCATCACACAAATTCCAGCTATCAGTAATCAATGCCCATATGGTGACAGCCAAGCCTGGTCTGAGGAGAAGATAAGTATGTTTTGTCTAAAGTCTCCCAACATGATTAATTATATTTAAAATATTATGAGATCAAAATTCGCATCTCACACAAATCTCTTGGATTTGGTTAAAACATTATTTATCCTGTCTTATGGAGTATCCAATTATGTGATTCTTCTTTACTTCCTCTCACTATATCATTCAAGCTATTTAATTATTTACAGGGCAAGTTTCCTTACTTCCCTTCTGGTAACGTTTTCTCAGCAGTCCTTTGTTATCTGCCTGAGCTTGCACACCTCAATGATATTTATAATATCTCAAGTATCCACCATGATACTTTATTGGGGTGTCTTACATTATATGATTTTACAAACATAGTCAGTCACATATATAAATTTTCATATATAGGGTTTGTACTAGGAAAATCAACCTTCCAGACAATAAATCTATTTTTAGTAACAACCCTTATAAATTTGGTTACACATATGTTTTTAATATATAAAGAAAATATTCCAAGCCTTGTATCTCATTTTTCTACTATGCAATCAGGGTCCAATTTTTTCACCAACTGTAAATCCTTTATTAGAGATTATTGTTGAGTAAAAAGACAAAAAAAAAAAAAAATAGCTGGAAGCTCGATTTTCCTAGTACAGACCCCATATGACAATTTTTTGCTGATCTTTTTTTCAATAGTAAACTTTGAATGATTATAACTCTTTAAAGAATAGAGATACTGACCCTGAGTTAAGTTTAAACCATACTAGAGGAATAGGACTATAAAGTAATAGAGCCCCTTTTTTTATTTTAATATAAACAATGGCATTTATTTTAAGCTAGAAAATCAAAGTAAAAGTTGTGAATATATGTTACAAAATTTTATGCAAATAAAATTGTAAAAAGCTCTATTAGTTTAAAGCGCATCAAAAAGTGAATCTAAACCATAAATTTTTATTTGAATATAACATATAGTTTAAGAGTTATTTTGAGTTTTGTAATTTTGCGAAGTTTGCCAATTTGTATAATAAATTTAAAAATTTTTTTTGTGGTACCAAAAATCCTTATTAATGAAAATTTATATATGCGATCAACTATGTTTGTAAATCATATGATGTGAGACACCCCAATACTTTATACACTTATTATTATATCTATGGCTCAGTTCCTTAACTGACCACACCTAACTAGGATTTCCACTATTTAGGCATTGGCCTAATCTAAATAAAATAAGGGAATAAGAATTAAAAGAAAATACACACACAACTATACTTATCAATGGCGTCCCCCTGGTAAGATAGTAATTAATTAATAATTGAGTTAGAGTGAAAGGTTTATGTGGTTTTGGAAGCAGGTGGATTATTCCACTGGCAAGTATTTATTCTTAAGAGATATTTATGTTTGTATTTTATTATCAAGATGTTATTGTTATTACAAGATAATAGTTAAGAACTAATTAACTGATTATTACATGAAAGAGAAATTTACAACATATTTATACATGTTAAAGGTTCTATCATCTAGTTATCTGACTTCGTTGAAATCCTAATTTATACTGTGAGATAGTAAATCTTGGACCTATCAATTACCCGGTTAATATTGACCAATTAGAACGAATTTACTACGGAAGTCA